AGCTAATAATATAGTCCGCCATATTGGATTTTGACCAATGACGTCATCAAATTAGCATATTCTATGCATATTAAATGATTTAACTTATATTTAATTATGTAAGATGTTATTAATGTTGGAAAAGAAGTGTAATTTAATATAAAACTCAGAAAATTTTTATGTTTAAACCAAAATTACTTCTATTTTGAAAAATAGAAACCCGTTGCCATGGCAACACAAAAAAACATCAACTTACTAGTATCAAACTAATATGAACTTTTTTCCAGAGACATTTTAGGAAAGGTCTCCAAATTTGATACTTCTAGCGCAAGCCGTTTAGCCGCTATCTGAGATCAAAGTTGGGCCTCAAAAGCCCCTTCAGTCTGAAATGGGTTTAAAAATCGAGTATTTCTTCTTGTCTTCTTTTCTTCACCAAAAAATAGAAAAAGTTCAAAATGTATGATATTTGTTTGTAATGTGGACACAGAGGTTCCCACATCAGTTTGCAAAACAATTGAGCTATTAGCATGTTGATAATTTCTAAAAATTAGCAAAAAACTGCTCTGGGGTCCGCGCGGACCCCAGGTGTACAGATTAATCAGTCTGGGAAGGTGTACTGTTGAGGGTTAAAGAACTCACCACACCTTTTGAAAAAGAGTAGGGGCATGCCCCGTGTGCAATGGTACAAACACTACTGTATGGAGTTGGTAATTCATTTCAAATCACCCGAATGGAGGCCTGGCTAACCGCTGTTCCATATCAGCCACATGGTGATTACATCACCACACATGGTGATTACATCATCACCGGAGGCGTGGTGAACCCCGTCTTGTATTAAGCTAACGAAAGGGTCATAATGTCACCCCGTAAGGGGCGGTACAATCCCGACCAATACGGTCGACCGATGATGATGACAGAGAGTCACCACAATATACCATCTGCAGCTGAACATATTCCATAACTGCCTCAAATGAGTGTTTTTATTTGTTTTGCATTACTGGTAAACCATCTTTTGGCCAACTAACAGGCCAGGTTTGTTTGTAACAGTAGAAGCTGCATATTGTATATTGTTTACTAATATTTGATTCACTCGCCCTCTTGGGTTGTCCTCCTGTCCCTATATTTTGCTTGATCACATCCTTGATAAACTGCTTGTACTACAGCACTAGTAAGCAATTCCCCCATGTGAGGCACCCCTGCCAGAAGGTTAATCAAATTCTGCACACTAGTAGCAAAATATATCGGCATGAAAGCTCATCTGTGTTGGTATAACTCGTAGCAAAAAAAAATAACTGAAGTCAGGTACCCATTTTACACCTGGGGTGGAGTGAGGAAAGTAATGTGCACAAGATGTATATATACATACTTATACATACATGCATATGTATATACATACATACATACATACATATATATATATATATACACACACACACATATATATATATATATATATATATATATATATACATACATATATATATGGTCTTTCATGTTATGAAATAACTTTTGCCTTAAACCCTCTTAAAACTGTTGTCTAACCTAGCATAATGTACACTCACTGTGTGCATTAGCTGAGCACTTTGGACCTGTCTGCTTCATTTCATCTGCTCCTATTGGAACAGGGGGGCATACACCATTCCTTGGCCATTGATCAGCATTAATCAACCATGTGGGCAAAACAGTTCAAAGGATCATCATCAAAAAATTATCAATAATAGTAATACAGACTTTAAAATATGCAGACTAAGAGATGCTTAAAAATTTTACAGATCAAACTTGCTTGTCGCCATTTAAAGATGAAGTGACAGTGTGATGACATCACACATTTGGAAAATGGCCACTGAGATGAAAAGGTGAAAAAAAAAGTTCCAGCTCTGAAACAGATGCTTTTGGGGACCTAAACTCAGGAAATGTGTATCATTTTCTATTAGATCAGGGGAGTAAGCCAGAGACAATGCTTAAATCATAAAAAGGAATCTTTATTTGCAAAATCATGCCCGAAGGCTAATTGCTTTCACACTATTGCTAAGACACTAAGACACTATTCGGTATAATGCAATATGGTTTTTTTCACGGTAATTTTATGTTCACTGTTTTCACTGTCACTTCTGTACAGTGAACTTATCATTGCAGTTAACATATGATTCCAGTAGACTGTCTTTTTCCTGCACCTGTCACCACCGTGAACATATAGTTCCGTGAACATGTCCATTTTTCTCAGACCTTAAACATAAAGTGAATTACACTAATAGGAGACAAACGATTACTGCCTGGAAATACTACTACTACTACGCTAGCTATTATATAGGTTTGACTTCTTCTTTGAAGGCAGTGGATAATGAATTAAGTCCCACATTCTGCATAATGAGTGGGTTTTGTGATACAAACATAGTCTTTTGGTGATCTTCTAAATGATGAAAAGATGGAGAAATTGTGGTAACTGTCTGGAATAATTTGTTTCTGTCGGTCTTACAGTGTCTGGACACTGGCCATCCAAATGTGTTTCATTTTCCACTGCATTCATTGGGCAATACATGCATACATAATTAAGTTATTAATTACTGGGATAAAAGATCTCAATGGTGTCCGGGTGGATGTTGGATGTTGGTTCCCATGTGTTGGCACTGTCTGGCCACCCCTGCCATTTGACGTGGTACTGGACCTCTCCCCCCTGCATTCTCTTTCCCACAAGTTTTTCCACAAAATATGGTCCCTCTTCTTCCCTCTTCCGCTTTCCCTTCCCTTTAGCCTTCCCTCTTCCTTTCTTCCTTTCCCGCTGCCTTTCTGTCTCCTTTTCCTGGGAAGAGATCAGTTCCACTTCTGTTGGGGGTGCCTCTTCAATGCCAGCTTGTATTGACTGCAACTGCTGCATGCATTCAGTACCTGTAAAGAAAATCATTTACACATAATTAAAGATAATTTACACATATCTAAATTATAAAAAAAACACTAAAGAAACTTAAGTGATTTTAGGATGTTGTATTGCTGCATTTGAATATTTTTACTATGGGCTTGAAATGTATGAAAAAATAGTCAATGTTCAATTGGCTTTCCCTACAATGTACAAAAAAAGTGAACATATATATATATATTTGTTTGATAGCATATGTCAATGAATTAGAGCTTTGCTGCCTGGCATTTGTCCACTTAAATTGACATAGCTACATTTAAAAATTCTGTTTACAGAAAAATCTTTACAAAGACAAGAACTATGCCACCATATAGTAATACCTTCAGGAATAGTTGTCTCCTCCACCACCTCAGGTACACCAGTTCCTGTCTCCATCAGCATGGGGCTCACTCTGCTGGGTCCTGCTACTGGAGACAAGCATAATGACAAATTCTATTATATGATAAAGTATAATCTTCTCCAGTGATATAATATAATTTTAGTCTCCTTTTCATTTTGCATGCCAGTGTAAGAGCAGATGCCTATTATTATTAAGTACATACTTTTGCTTAAGTTTTATTGTATGGATGCAGTCAGCAACTGTCCCTAGCACACTACCTTTCCGTCAGGATGTGTTGCAAATCATGTCAATTTTTACAAAATATGACTCAATGTAAAATGCCATTGACCTGCAAACTTACAAAAGTTGACTGAAATAGGCTCTGGGACTGATAGTTATCTGTCTTGCAACACTAGTTGGAAACAGGTGTTCTGGCTTTGATAACTTCACCTCTGGTGAGTGACCATGAAGAGTGAAGTTTGATATTAAATGTCTCACCGCTTGCATCTGTGCTGCTGGAAGACAACATGGTGCTCTCAGGTTGGACTGAAGTGCAGAGAAAATGTCTTAGAAGTCAACCCACAAACAATTTTTTTAACATGTTATGTTAATTTTGCATTAATGCTGGTTGCATGAAACATTCACCACATGACCGTGTCTATATATCAAACATCAAAGGACAAGTGCTTTTTATCATCATGCATTTATTGTTTCTGAATCTAATTCCATACAAATTGACTACTAGTATTTTCAAACTGATAACCACTTATGATAAGTGATTTTCAAACAGAAAGGGCATTACAACGGTAACCATAAATCTTCCACTGATATACATTGTCCTGCTCACCATGAATAACAAGGCTGTTCCTGTAGTTCAACAGGACTTTAAGGTCATCTACCCCCATGTCTGAAGGCTTCCTGAATTTGAAGTCTTCCGGCAGCCCCTCCACCACCACCTTGCCCTCTTCCAGTAGCTTGTAGGGGAATTTAGACTTCAGTTCTGGATGTGAACCTGAAACAGTATAAATAATTGCCATTGACCCCAAACATTATTCATGCAGTCGTATTGATAAAAAAAGAGCTTGAAGGTGGGAGTGTTGGTAAAGCAGTTACTTGACTAAAAAGTTTTCTTTCTTGTATGGTTAATTTTTTTTATTCACACCAATCAACATCATTATTTTTTCATTAGGCCACACCAATTTAATTTCTTGGTTAACGGATTCGCCGCTTCATTTTTTTCTGATTTGCAAATAAAAATAAAAATCCAGAATCAACTGCAAAATGCTCATCTTTTGCCCTGAACAGTTGAAAACAGTCCTTTTCATCCTAGTTGTTACAGTTATTCCATCTTTCAATGCAGTAGTATCATTAAACGTTCAAAATTCATTGTTTAAATTTTGAACCAGCCTGGTGTGTTGACTTTATGGCTCCTATCGTACCATTTGGGGCCATAATAGGATGCCTAGGCCTGTTTTTATTTTATTTTTTTTTCGTCCCGCCCGCTCCATTATTTTTGTAGAAAAATCCGTTAACCAAGAAATTAAATTGGTGTGGCCTTATGACTCATTTATCATTTCCAGCACCCCAGCTTACACAGTAACAGACAAGTTTTCAGATGCAATTTAAAAGCAGGTCCATCAGAGCAGATACACAAACCATGTCACATAGGTGATAAAAATGTCAATATGATATGCAATGCCACAGCTCATTAGTCAGTACGACCAAATGTTTAGGTGACACAGTCTCTTTTCATACAGTTTAATTATTAATCAGTTAGCTTCTCCTTTTACCATTTATTGCAAATAAAGGTGTGGAGATATGAAAAAGATGTAGTGTATTCAAGAGGTCTTGTTCCTAAAATACCTGTTGCCTGATTTATTATACATTATATTGTTATCAAACTGAGACGTGAATACCAAACAGACTTGTGTATTGGCTAGTTGAATGTTACTTTCCTCTGCACATGGTAGGTTGTGAGATCAATAGTCATACGGTCATACCAAGACTTTGAAAATGGTATATGCTGTTTTCTCTGCTTATAAGCCCTCAGCATACTAGTTTGTCAGCATACTAGTACCGGTATGTCAGTAAAACACACCACTACCAGTGGACAATTGGGTGCCGCCCTATACAGTATTTGGTGCAGAAGGAAAATGCCCAACCTATATGAACACTTACTAGATATGGCATTTAACATGGCCTGTGCCTCCTTCCTCAGACCCTTCGCTTCATCTTTTTTACTGGCCTTGCTTGCTGCAAACACAATGAAGAAAACATGTCATTTGGAAAGTAAACCTGAGTTTTACCTATTAATAATATAAGTACTTCAAGTTATTTTATACAATGCCATATACACCAGATACAGAAACTAGAATTTGTGCTGCCTTTGTCATGTTTTAACTTTGTCAAATAGAGGATGTCAAATACAGTTTAACACACATGAACAACATATTAGTGTGCTATTTTCTGTTCATTTTCATACTCACACATACAAGTGGAAGGTCCACTCATGGCCAAGCAGAACTGGGTGTCCACTTGAGGAACCTTGTCATTCAGAAAGGCCTCTGCCTTGGATGTGCTGGCAGTCCACACCTCCCCGTGTCTCGTCACCTTACAGAACAGCTCGCATCCGAAGGACTTCAGTTTTGAGACCTGTAGCCCCAACCAAAAGATCATGTCAGCACATTGCATGATTAAGGGGTCTGGTATTGTCCTAGTTTCCATAGTAAAACATGTTAAAACTCATAACCCTCAGGGGAGCTCTGAGACACTATTGCCTGCTTTTTGAGGAACAAATTTGGGAATTATGTTTTCCAACACTTACAGCTTCATTCTAAAATCAAATTTTGATTTTTTTTCAGAGATTTATGGGGGGTGTCCGGGTTCTTCTCCAAAAGAATTGCTGGTTGAAAGATAGTGCAAGGGGCTAAACCGCCCCTACACTGAAACGTCCTGGTGAGAACTATGATAATCATCACAATTTCTGACATGTTGAACTTAAAGCTAAAGTAGCACGGATCAGTAAAGAGCTGTTTAATTACAGTACATATGTAGTGTATTGTGTACTGTTAGTTTCTTTATTATGATTTATTCCAATTTACTTCCATCATAACACATGAAATGACTGCATTTCATTTTCATGTATTTGTTTTTTTATATTTGGTGGTTTCACATTCAAAACAGGTGTATTGAAGGAAGTGTGCCATCTTTAATTCCAGTGTTTTGTATACGGTACATAGCATTACTTACAACACCCTCCATCTCCTGGATGAGCTTTCTGACTGTTGCCTGTTTTGAGTCCTCAGACAGGTCAGCTACTGTTGGCCGCACGTGCTGCTTGGCCTTTTCACTGTACGTCTTCTTCTCCTCTGCAGTGAGTCTTGACCAAGCACGGTTGGCATCTGCCAACGTTGAAGGGCCTGCCTTGCCTGTGAAAAAAACATGTACTTCAATACCTTCTAAAACTAAACATAATGTCTTCATGGTCAACTACCAAGTTCAACATACATGTAGTATGGTATCTAACAGCAGAGATGTAGTATACATTCAATGGGTCTACTCTATGCATGTTATATAAATATTCCTATTGATATTCACATTTAACCCAATATACCTACCTACCAACCAACCTCTACATTGGCAATGTTATTTTATTGACATTTCTGGCACTGTCTACCATGGCTGACAGGAATACACTAGTATTCCATGCATCATCAAGTTCATGTAACTAGCAGCTACCTTTCATGTACTTTGACTTGAAACCTCCATAGCCGGACTTCCCCCTTCCAAATAGATTGACAGCTTTCTTCGGTGCAGACCTTGGCTTGCCCTTCCTGTTCCTGTTGTCAATCCATCGCTGTGTATAAAGAGAACCTCAATAAAGTAACCTGAAGCAGAGAATGCTTCATATAATTATACACTGTATATGCAGCTCCACTGTCTGTTAGAAAGCATTGAGGTGATTATGTTTTGAAATCCTTAGATACATACCAAAAAAAAGCATTGGTTACATACTATAGTACTCTCTGAGCAGAGGTTTGGGTTTTGGTTTATCATTTTACCTCCATGGGTTTATTTTTGGCATGTTTTAGGCTTTTCCATCTGGCTTTCTTTTTTTTTTCATGGGTTTGTTGCAAAAAAAAAACAATGCAAAAAAACAAAGCCTGATAAAAAGCGCAAAACACACCAAAAATAAGCCAAAACCCAAACTTCTGCTTGGAGAGTATTCATTTGGTAACATTAGGCCACACCAATTTAATTTCTTGGTTAACGGATTCCCCGCTTCATTTTTTTCTGATTTGCAAATAAAAATAAAAATTCAGAATCAATTGCAAAATGCTCATCTTTTGCCCTGAACAGTTGATAACAGTCCTTTCCATCCTAGTTGTTACAGTTGTTCCATCTTTCAATGCAATGGTATCAATAAAATCAAATCAAAATCAAAATTCATTGTTTAAATTTTGAACCAGCCTGGTGTGTTGACTTTATGGCTCCTATCGTACCATTTTGGGCCATGATAGGATGCCTAGGGCTGTTTTTATTTTTATTTATTTTTCGCCCGCCCGCTCCATTATTTTTCTAGAAAAATCCGTTAACCAAGAAATTAAATTGGTGTGGCCTTAGTTAATAAAAAAATATCCACTCTTTTGTTCTTGTTCATCAAAGCTTGATTCTATATTTAACAACTTTCCTTGTCTGTGTGATGTTAGTTAGGAAGTGATGAGCAAGCATACAATATATAAAACATTTGTCTGACATACCTTCACCTGGAGCCTTTTAAGACCAGTAAGCTGGACAATGGCCTCAACCTTCTGTTTGTTCTCCTTCGAACCGTAGTGTGTGAGGCCGTTGTTGTAGAAATCCTCCAGAGTCCCTCTGTGCTGGGCGGTAGTAGGCCTTTCCCTAATAAAGAAAAATATTCGAAATATTGTCACAAGGCTTTGGTATTATCTAAAGAATATTTAGAAGTAGGATTCGGCGTATATCACCTGAATAAAACATAACACTGGTCACTTAAACATGGGGCGATCTGGTAGTAAATAGACGGGGTGAAAGTGCCATGGGGCGAATGATCTAGCAACCTGAAACAACTTTTTGTTGGTGTAGTATAGAATGCTGCTAATTCAAATCGATTTTTGTATATAAAGCCATGTTGATTTCATAATTTATGGATGACATCCTCTGGGAACCCTAAAACTGATGCGAGCGTGAGTTAAACAAAGTACCAGATATGGCATAGCGAATAAGGTACCGCGAATGAGAAGAAAATATAATTTCTTCGCATTTTTTTCTCCGCGACATAAGCATCATTTTCCAATATTTTGTCGTTTGCAGCTGCATTTGTACAATTTTACAGTATGGTCACACACGTCTTCAGAACGGATCGACGTAAGTTCATGCATGCGCGGATGTCATCCATTATTTTTTTGAATCACCATAGCCTAAGAGCCTGATTATTATTCGCTATTTTTTAATGCTGCTACGTAATTCATACATTTTGGCATAGATAATCTCCATAAGAAAGCAAAGCATTCAGTGTCTGAACAAAGTATCGTTAACCCCAAATGGCTCTGCGAGATAACTCCCTTTTTCACAACTATGTGGTAAATCCCGGGCCCTTGAAAACAGCGCCCGTGTTCCTTTATCAGATCAGAGTTTATGTAAATCAATGGCCGAAAAGATAAATAGAAACTTAGGATGAATGAGGCTACCAATTTCAATCCTTAGCCCTACTTTGAGAAATTTAATGAAGATTTCAATGTATTTCTCCACCAATGTTTGGAAGGTTATTTGTTAATCAGACATATACTGCATGAAGTCTATGCGTGAGCTCCCCTGATCCATTCGGTGCTTGGTGCTTGGGCATTAAACCAAGGAGCTTGTATTCAACCTCCTCGGGCAAAGCGGGGATTCTGTTACGGTGGTCGTTTCATGGGGCGAAGTATCTTTAGGGAGTGCATGTAATCTCCAAGCAGATCCTAGGGTCGGCAAAAATAGAGTACAGAGAGGGTCCATGCGCGACCCAAGGCCAAGGTTGGGGTAGCGACAAAAAAAAATAAAAACAAACGGGCCTTACAAAGCTTAGTCTCCACCAGACCTCTTTTGCGGGCTGAATAAATAGTAGAAATCGGCCTAAAAAGGGTCAGAGAAGATAGCCGGTCAGAGAAGCTTCTCGCGGGCAAATAGAGCTTCTCTGACCGGCTACCTTCTCTTGCGAATTAATACCCTTTTTATCATTTTAATAGGCCGATTTCTACGGTTTATTCAACCCGCAAAAGAAGTCTGGTGGAGACTATAAAAGCTGTATCATTCCCTCACAACCTCTGCTTGGAGAGTACGCATATGGGTGCCCCGGCATACAATTTACAAATATGAAAAAAAAATTACAGGATGGCACACAGGCTAGCTATGAGTATGAGCAAGGATCAAACGTGGCGTTAGCCTACTGGTGCCATGTCTGGATTGGCGTTCTCTCTCACGGAATAAACTACACGGGCATATTTGGAAATTGAAACAGTGTTAGTGAGAAAATCTTTCATGTTATGGTTATAATTGTACTTACACGGAGCTTGGACCGGGGTCATCGGTTTCCACATTGTTGGTAGCCATGAGCGGATGCGCTGGTATTGTAGTTCCAGACAGTACAGAACTCCAACAGATATCAGTTTGCGAGGTGCCACAAACCAGACAAGAAGTGTTTCAAATTTTGGCTAGAATGAGGAATATGCTTTGTTGGGAGGACACCCGCGGCGCGGGGTACGCCGTCCGACCAACCAGGGAAAGCGCCCGGGTGCCGGACCAATTCTCACCTGGATGTCAACTTTGTCCCTGTCTGTCTCGCCAGACCGCCATGGCGCCATCATTCATATTCCACAAATTACACAATACTCTAGACTTTCTTGTACTACAAAAGGTATCCCTCATCCCACAAGGTCATAATGGCTGAATAACTCCAAGGACATCCTTTATGATATCGTTTCTTCATGGGGGATATCCCTATTAATTAAATCTCCAAGCCGATCTTTTTGTTTCTGCAAACTCAGTATCAAATTGTACTGGCAGAATCCATTTGACAGACAGTATGAATACCTAATCTCCAAGCATTTCCTGTAGGGTGGAAAAAGATAGTATCAAATTGGCCGGGCAGTATCCATTCGCCAGAGAGGGTCCATACGCCACCCAATTTGATGCTGTATTTGCCACCATAGGATCTGCTTAGAGATTGATGAATGAATGAAGACCTGTACTGCACATTTTTGCCACACTTGGCCATATAAAGTACACATTGGAATAATCTTGCATTCCGCGCGATGAAAGCGAAACGTGATTAGTTCCGAGGCAGGCATAACGCTCCTCTTGTCACTTGCGCCCTTGGAAAAGGCACTTAACACGATTTTCCTCAGTTCACTCAGGTGTAATTGTGTAAAGAAGAACTTTATTGCACGACAAATGCACATGGTAAATGAGTACCTAGCTTCGGTTAGGGACGTCCCTCGGATAGGACATTAAATGGAGGTCCCGTGTTTGGGGAGAGCCACACCACACGCACGTAAAAGAACCCACCACACCTTCCGAGGGGCATGTCCCAGTGTGCGGTGGTACAAACACTACTGTATGGAGTTGGTGATTCACTAGCCCCTACGCAGGCACCGCGGATCGCTGTAAAAATAGTAGAAATTGGCCGAAATAAAGGGATAGTATACCAGGGCGTGGCACAGGCTTGTTATTCACTTCAAGTCACCTGGACAGAGGCCCGGCGAACCCAAGCACCGCGGATCGCTGGAAAAATAGTAGACATTGGCCGAAATAAAAGGGATATTATACCAGGAAAGTTAGCCGGCCAGAGAGGACCCGCACCGAGGCTATGTCATGATCACCCCGTAGGGGGGGGGTATAGCCCCGACCAACACAGTCGAAAAATGATCATGATGATAACCCTCTCTCCCGGCATAACGTTCTCTGGCAAGGCAACGACGTTTAATTTACGTGTTTGCCGCAGTATCAGTAAACTCCCACCCGCTCGCGAAAGCCTGCTCAGGAGGCTAGCGTAAACCAGATGGATACTGGCTTTCTTTGCTTTTTAACTGACCTCAACTCTCATTAAATCTCTAGGTTGTATAACACCACCACTTTGAGAAAGTGTGTTGTGGTTTGAAGAGATCTGTGCCACCAGGTGTGCACTTCTACATATGTAACGTATGCATACCTTACGCGGCACTGCAACTTATATATATAACTATATATAACTATATATAACTAT